TTAGATGTTTATATGCATTCTGATGGGGAGCGCCTGTGAAGTACCCTCTTTGCTCCAACAAGGTCAACATAACATTTGTAATCTAAAAATTGCCCGCCCAAATCTGGGGTGGGACAATTGCACCTGCGTAACCTTCATTTAGAAGCACCCGAGGAGCTACTCGCGGAGGAGCTGGGGGAGGGTCTGGAATGTTTTCATTGGTCTGGCAGCCTCTTCTTTGAGCTTGAGGTACTAGAGGCACCTCATCTTGAGCATTATCATCTACCTCCTCCCTCGGGAGAACATTTCCAAGAGGATCATTATTTGTCACTTTGTACCTGAATCGATTAACTCTCACAAGTTAGTAAAATAGAAGGAAAGAAAAACAAGACACACAACTAGTCAGATAGATAGCCAAAACTGTTTAACTCCCCGGCAACGGCGCCAAAAAGTGATCGGTTCCAACCCTGCACCACTATATAATGGCGAGGAGTGGTCGATGCAGCTTTTATCCGAAAGGTCGGGATCGATATCCACAAAGAGTTAATATTGATTGGGAGTTGGGTTTCTACCTAATCTAGCTATGCGTGTTGCTTTTAATTACACTTCTAACCGTGCTTGGATTTGTTTCTATTCTACGTTTAATGCTATTGATTGTTGAAGGTAATCTAAGTACTATATTTTTGTAGGAGTTTTCTCAAGTGATAAAAAGCACTAGGGAAGTGACTTACACCTAGGCGAGTATCTAATGGGATCTAGAGTTTAGGACAAGCTTGTTATGATTGGGGTTGTGATATAACCATCGCACATAAGTGCTCACTCTATACCTCTCGGTAGTTTGAGTGACTTTGCCCAATTTCACTTTCTCAAGTCCAAATGGGTGTTCATGCATAACAAATTATGTTGGCTCAAGTCGGATATTACTATCTCTAGATTTAACCCTTTAATTGGGGCTATCAATCTCTTGAATGCACCCCAATTCCTTGTTAGCCTAATTTTTCTAGACTTAGTCTCTCTTTCTCAGGAAGAGTCTAAGTCATCAAGGCACGAATCAGTGTTTGCAACCACCTATTCTACAATTAAAGCATGAATTAAGCTAAATATCACTAGCCCATAAACAAATAAGTCCTAAAATTGAAGACCCATTAAATACACACACTAGGGTTGGGTCACAACCCTAGCTAATGGGTTTAGCTACTCATAATCAAGGTAGAAATCAAAGATGGAGATGAAATATAAGCCATAAAAGTTGATTACAAGAATAAAATCTAAGAATATAAGCTAAAGCTACTCTAAAATTACTCTAAGTGGTAAAGTACGGCTGTTCACGAGCTCCTCATACAAAAGATAACCTAAAAATGTGAAAAAGATATATTTATACACCGCTGAAATTACTGGACAAAAATACCCCTACGGAGGTTTCGCTGTGAGCGAAATACTGAGCGCCTCAGCGTATGGACTTTTGCGGCCGCGCAAAAACAAGCGCGGACCGCATTTCTTCACTTTTGTGCTTGGTTTGGACTTGATTTTGCGGGCAGCGTAAAAGTTACCGCCTCCGCGTTAGCATCAACCGCGGCCGCGTAATTTGGACGCGGACCACGCTTCTCAGTCAGGCTCAACTTGCAGGGTCTCTGAACTATGATCAACGCTCTCAGCGGAAATACCACCGCGGCTGCATCAGGTATTCCGCGGCCGCGCTTTTTCATCGCTGGCAGCGGTCACTGTTGTCTCCAAAACATCTTCTCTGAATCTCACTTTCGCGGACCGCATAATTGTGGCCGCTTCAGCGGTGGAACTTACGCGGTCGCGCTTTTCCATCGCGGTCAGCGCTTCAGTCCCAACTTTGAACTTGTGCTATTTTAACTCTTTCATCAGTTGATTACGGCTTTCTTGCCTCATTTTGACCTAACCCTGCAGACAAGCACATTAAGTCAGTTTTCGGAAATATTTTTACATATTTTTTATCCAAAACCTAAGCTAAGATAGACAAAAATCCATAGTTATTAACTACCAACCATCACCACTGCTAACCAGTCTTCAATGATCATCATGATTGTCAACGACCACCATAATTGGCCAGAGTCACCGGCGAGCACTAATAACCACCAATTATCTTAACGCACAATCACCACAACCAATCACCTCTACCACGAGCCACCTCCATCATCAAACACCATCTTCACAATTAGCTTATTGTCACTAATCACTATTATTAATCACCTTTATTGTTGCTACCATCTCTATTATAAGCCTCTGTTGTATAGCCGCCGTTAGAAATCATGACAATCTACCACATCCACCCAAAACACCATGCATAACTATCACATTTCCACCACCATTCTGCCCAATCATTGCCGCACAGCCATCACCTTCAGTAACACCACATGGACATCATCAACCATTGTTACAAAACAAACATCGTCGGGCACTTTAATCAATCTTGATTACTATCAATCACCATTTAACAATCATACCCGTAACCACCTCTACCATCAACTGCCATGAGTATTAATTTTTGAATTGTGTTTGATCGATAACTTTTTTACATGTAAATTAAAAAGATTCTAATATTTTGTGGATACAATATTTTATTATTATGTTTATTATTAGCCACACACATGTTGAGAAATTAATTTTTTTATTATGTAATATTTTGATCTAGAAAATAATCATATATGTATTTAATTCAAATATATTAATGTAAAAGAAAAGGGGCTAAAGTCAAAGTCTAATGTGAGGCCTAAACTTTTAAAAGACTGTTGAACACTTGAACTAATGAAATCTTGGAGAAAGAAGGTGAGTAATGAAATCTTGGATCGGAAAAAGAAGGCGAATAAGAATATCAAGAGATAGACAGAAAAAAAATATAAGGGTTCTGAAATACGAATAGATTAGGGAAAAAAAATTAACTTGGACAAATTAAGGAAGAAAAGTATAATTTATATACATTATCTAATAAAAGAGTAAAAAGTTAAATTGTCAAATCAACTTAAATTGAAAGATTGAGAAAATAATTCATCTACCCATTTTTTAGTAAGTCAAATGGCTACTTTATTTATATATTTAAAAAATTATTCTCTTTATATGAATTTTTTTACTTTTTGTATTAAAGGTACTAAATATTATTATTTTTTAAATACATATAAACATATTATTTCTAAAAAAAATGCTCTGCCCCTCTCCAAATTTGGGGGCCTAAGACACAAGCCTTACTTGTGTCAGTAGAGCGGGCCATGTTGGCCAATATATCTCATTGACCAAAAAATATTAAAAGATTTTCATCCAAAGAGAAGATGTCAATTTTCAATATGACATGTGAAAAATAAAAGAGAGAGTCACTTTAGCCAAAGTAATCTCACATACACCATAGCAAGAAGTTAAAAAAATCATCTTGCCAATATATTATCTGAGAAATTGAAGAGAAAAAATTTATTGATGCCAGAGTAATCTTACTTTGGCCAAAATAGGAAGTAACCAAATGTCATCTTTGCAAGCTCGCTTCATAAAATGATCATCCATTAATCTTTTGGAAGACACAAGGACTAGTCTTGGGTGTCTTTGTTATTTATTTTTTTAGTAGGAATATTTTCTTAGTCTTTTATATATTTCAGTCTTTCAAAATTTCTTTTTAGTTTTTCTTACTCCATAAGGAGTAATTTCTTTCTGTTGGAATAATTAAAAAAGCTTGATACATTTTATGCTATCTAGATTTTGACATATTCTTGGCTTGAAATTTTTTATTTATATTTCACACTGTATTGAAACAATAATTTTTAAGTAATTATAATTAATCACATCTATATATATTATCTTTAAAAACAGTAACAAATCGCAAGTACTAATTACCTATAACATAAGTTGTATGGGTCAAAATCTGATCAAAGGAATCTAGTCTAAGAGAGGATAACTAAGAGCTGATTAGGCCGAGGTCATGCTAAAGAAGTAAATGTTGGCGAGCTGAGCAGCTAAGGTCGAGGTCGAGCACTCAAATTGGCCCAAACGGCTAGTTTAGTAATAAGATATTTTAAAGGAATATTCTACAGAATATTCTCTGCACTTGTACTTTCAGTTAGGTAAGAGATATGTCCCATATAAGTAGGAATAGAGAGAGAAGAGAGGGGCATGTAATATACTATATGATAAGCTCTCTCTTGAAAAGTTAACTCTCAAGAAAATTACAAACATTGCCTATACAAAAAGATTCGATTTGTTGTTGGTCCCAAGCTTTCTCACATCAGATCCGAGTGAACTTTTTATATTTCCACGTTTGTTTGTCTTACATCATTGTCAGAGAGATAATCATCCACCTCATTGAACATTTGGGTAAAATCATATTCTCTGTTTACATTTATTGCCATTTATTATATTTATTGCTTGTCATTACTCCCTCATACATTCATAAAAATACCATTAAACATCCCCTTGGTATTAAATAGCCTTGAATATAATTTACGTTATTGATATCTATTAGTCTTAGATCTAGAATTTATTATATTTAACTAGGATTTACCCATCATCATCTTATTTAATTAGTTTAGCAAAAAGGCTTAACACCTTTTGGTCAAACAATTTGGCGCCGTCTGTGGGGACTTTTCTAGTTAAAATTTTAGTTTCTTCTAGATCTTAAAAAAAATGCACAAAACTTTGTAAATTCCCGTACTTCCTTGTTTGCACAAATCTGACATGGCAGGCAACGGAGAAGAAAAGAGAAAGGCGACCTCACGACCGATCTCCTCGACACCATTAACGAAGCGGACGAAGCGGAGGGCGAAGACATAACACCAAACACCTCTCCCAGGCGAGCGGGCTTGTCGAGGAAACCGGTTAGCATTTTTGTCAACCATGCCTCAAGTAACTTTTTCACTGCTGGTGGTGCCTCTTCTGTCGTGGATGTAGAGGCGCCTTTACAGTGCGAGGTCGTGACGCTACCGAGAGGCGAAGGCAAGCCGTTAGTGATGCAGGTAATGACAACTCTCACAGCCATTTTGAGGAAATTGGAGGAGATGGAGGACTAGAACAAAATGCTCCGTAGCCAGATGAAAGAGCACCAAGAAAGGGTAGACAAAATACCGGGCGCCCCAAAACTTCTGCCAAAAAGAGACGCCGGTCGGTTCGTTGAGCAACCATATAGCGACAAGGCTACAGTGCATGCCATACCAAAGACCTTCAAAATGCTGTCGTACTTAAAAATATACGACATCACGACGGACCCGGAGGATCATGTGACTCACTATGTCACTGTAGTAAAAGGCAATGACATTGCAAAGGAACAAGTGTCGTCGATATTGCTGAAAAAGTTTGGAGAAATCCTAATCGGGGGAGCATTGACTTGGTACTCACAGTTACCTGCGCGTTCCATAGAAACATTCGAAGAAATGGCAGACAAGTTCGTCACCGCCCATGCCTGGGCCAAGAAAGCAGAGGCAAGGGTGAACGACATATTCGCCATTAAGCAATCGCCTGGCGAAGGACTCAAGGACTTCCTCGCCCGGTTCAACCGTGTAAGAATGACCCTTCCAAATGTATCTGAGGGGATGGCGGTAGCCACTTTCCAGAATGGGCTAAGTAGAAGCGGGTCGAGGGTAACCAAAAAGTTGCTAAGCCGACTCATGAAATATCCTCCAACCACTTGGGACGAGATACACAATGATTACTGTGCCGAGGTAAGAGCCGACAAGGATGATCTCAATGGACCTACCCAATGTTTGACCTCGGTCCAAATGAAGTCTAGGAAAGACCGGAGAAACGACAGCAAGAGAGATCTAGCGGAATCCCGACCTAATCGAGAGAGACATCAGCCTTACGTCAGAGGCACCCTCATGCAACCTCCACGCCATGATGAAGGTCCATCCAGGTTGCGAACGGGAATCCACCAAAATGAGAGAGGTATGCCCCCTTATTATCTGCTCACAATTTCTGTGTTTCCCCCTCAGAGATAGTCTACACATTGGAGAAGCTCGGCCCAAAAGTGAAATGGCCGTAAAATATGAGATCTGACCCCAGAACCAGAAAGTCAAATGCCCTTTGAGAATTCCACCAGGAGTGGGGTCATAAAACACAGGATTGTATCGTCGATCGTGGAAGGGCCAACTTCGCCCGAGGGCGGGAATAACCCCAGGGACCGCCCAAGCCACCTTTCCCAGCTCGGACCATTCAAATGATCATCGGAGGAGGGGACGACGTATCTATCAACAGCATGAAGTTCACCGCCACCCACAAACTCAAACGGTCCATGACCCACGAGCGGTATGACGAACTCAAAGAAAGTATCATCTTTGATAAGTTAGATACTCACGGTTTGGTCCTTCCTCACTATGACGCTCTTGTCATTACTTTACGTGTCTTTGATACGGCATACAACGCCATCATAGGCCGACCTTGGATACACGCCATGAAAGTCGTCCCCTCCAGCTTATAACAAGTCATTAAATTTCCCACCCCCTCGGGAGTATTCTGCATCCGAGGAGAGCAACCCACGGCCCGAGAATGCTACCGCATCGCCCAAGACTGCACATACACCCAACAATTAAAAGGAAAGGCCGAGGAGGCATAGCAATTAATGAAGTCGGGGTCAGATGGCAATGAGAGGAAAGACGTTATTAGAGACCCCAAAATCGTAGAAGCCACAGGGTCAACCGTAGAGGACCTCGACCCCGTCCAACTAGACAATGACGATCACGGCAAGAAAGCTTTCATCGGCCATAAGCTCCAAGATCTAGGTAAATTTTGCTAATTCTTAAAAAGTAACGTAGACCTGTTTGCTTTTTCCCATGCAGACATGCCAGGTATCTCGAAGGAGATAGCAACTCACAAGTTGAACGTCGACCCGTTTTACTCCCCGGTGAGGCAAATTAGATGAAAGTTTAACTCTGCAACAAATAACGCGGCTCGCGAAGAGGTCGAAAAATTGTTAGTGAACGATTCTATCAGGGAACCGAAGTACCCTCAGTGGGTCGCCAATGTGGTCATGGTGAAAAAAGAAGAGCAGAAAGTGGCGGATGTGCGTAGACTTCACAGATCTGAACAAAGCTTGCCCAAAAGACTCGTTCCCGCTGCCCCATATCGACCAACTCATCGACGCTACAACCGGGCACGAACTACTAAGCTTCTTGGACGCCTACTCGGGCTACAACCAAATCCTCATGGAGGAAGAGGACCAGGAAAAAACCACTTTCATCACCCACCAGGGGACATACTGCTACAAGGTGATGCCGTTCGGGTTGAAAAACGCAGGGGCAACATATTAGAGGCTAGTGACCAAAATGTTCAAAGATCAACTCGGCAAGACCATGGAAGTATATATAGACGAAATGTTGGTCAAGTCAAAAAGGAAGGAAGAACGTATCGACCACTTGGGGGAAGCCTTCGACATACTCAGACAGTACGACATGAAATTGAACCCCGAAAAATGCACCTTCGCCGTAACCTCTAGAAAGTTCCTCGGCTTTTTGGTATCGCAATGAGGCATCGAGGTCAACCCCGACCGGATCAATGCCATATAAGGAATCCCGAAAAATTTAACCAGCAAGAAATAAATGCAAAAGGTGACCGGTCGGATAGCTGCCCTGTCGATGTTTATCTCGCGGTCCTCCGATATGTGCCACAAATTTTTCAGCATACTCAAAAAGGATAACGGACTCCAATGGAATTCCGAGTGTGTCGATGCCTTAAAAGAACTAAAGGCCTACCTGTCTTCGCCACCGTTGCTCGCTAAGGCAGAGCCCAGAGAGCGTCTCCTCATCTACCTGGCCGCGTCCGATGTCGCAGTAAGTGCAGTACTGGTACGAGAAAATAAAGGTACATAGTCTCTAATTTACTACATTAGCAAAACTTTGGTCGACGCGGAAATGAGGTACCCCCACCTCGAGAAGCTAGCTCTAGCTTGGTCATAGCTTCACGAAAGCTTAGACCTTATTTCCAGTGCCACCCCATCTCGGTGGTCATGACTTTACCTCTAAGGAGTATTCTGCACAAACCTGAACTATCAGGCAAATTGGCCAAGTGGGCTATAGAGCTAAGAAAGCGCGATATAACCTATCAGCCCTGAACGGCGATAAAGTCGCAAGTTCTTGCCGACTTCGTCGCTGACTTCAGTGCGAAGATAATGCCCGAAGTCGAAAGGGAAACCGCTAGTACTTTCGCCAAAATACATGACCAATGGGTTCTGTACACCGATGGTGCTTCTAACGCATCAGGATCTGGACTGGGACTCATACTCGAGGTCCCAACAGGCGAAATAGTTTGCAAGTCCATACAATGCCCTGATATGACTAACAATGAGGCCGAGTATGAGGCCGTGATTGCAGGGTTAAAATTGGCACTCAAGTACGGAGCAGATTAGTCCTGCGATGCGACTCGCAACTCGTTGTCAACCAAGTTATAGGGACTTTCCAAATTATTGAGCAACGACTACAGAAATACCAGGCCAAAATTTACAAACTATTACCCGAGTTCGACGAATGCCAGTTCGATCAAATACCCCGAGCGAAGAACATCGAGGCGGACAGCCTCGCTAAACTGGCAGCGGCCACCAAAAGCATAACCGGAGAAGGGGATGTGGTCACCCTTCTCCATTCACCGAGAGATCAAATCGAGGTACGAACTATAAACTTGACTTGGGACTGGCGCAATCGTATTATCTCATACTTGCAGGACGGAGTGCTCCTACCCGATAAAAAAGAATCCAAGAAGCTTCGAATGCAGGCGGCCAGGTACAACGTCATCAATAACGACTTATACAAAAGAACGTTTGGCGGACCCCTAGCAAAGTGTTTAGGACCAAATCAAGCGTGGCGCGTCCTCGAAGAAGTACACGAAGGTCACTACAAAGCTCATACCGGAAATCGAGCTCTCGTCAGATGCCTCATACGAGCAGGCTACTACTGGCCCACGATGAAAAATGAGGTCGCTGACTTCCTAAGAAAATGCGAGCAATGCCAAAGATATGACCCTATGATTCACTAAGCGGGCGAGCACATCCACTCCGTTACCTCGCCCTTGCCTTTCATCAAATGGGGAATGGACATCGTCGGACCCTTCCCAGTGGGACGAGGTAATGTACGATTTCTTTTAGTTTTAACTGACTATTTTTCCAAGTGGGTGGAAGTAGGTGCATTCGCCCAAATACGCGAGCAAGAAGTAGTCACACTATATGGAGAAACGTTATATGCCGCTTTGACATCCCCAAAGAAATCGGTTGTGACACCGGGCCCCATTTCACTGGGAAAAAGACCGCCGAGTTCTTTGAAAATGGCACATCAAAAGAATACTCTCCACGCCATATCACCCCGCGGGCAATGGTCAGGCGGAGTCCTCCAACAATCAATATTGAACATCATGAAGAAGAAGCTCGAGAACGCCAAGGGATTGTGGCTGGAATTGCTGCCGGAAGTGCTATGGGCATACTACACAACGCCGAAAACAAGCACGGGAGAAACGTCATATTTACTAGTCTATGGGACTGATGCAGTAATACCAGTCGAGGTCGGAGAACCCAGACTGAGATATTCCCACGAGAGTGGACCGGTTAACGACGAAGGTAGGAGGCAAGACCTCGATGAAGTCGGAGAGCGAAGAGATATGGCTTATATAAGGGTGGTCGCTAAAAAACAACAAGCGGAGCGATATTACAACAAAAAAGCCAAGGTCAGATCACTCAAAGTAAGGGACTACGTACTTAAAGCCAAAACACAGGCGAGCAAAGACCCACGAGAAGGAAAACTAAGGACTAAATGGGACGGCCCATATAAGATTACGGCAGCAACAAGCAAAGGGTCATACTAACTAGAAACAGTGGAGGGGAAATTATTGCCAAACAATTGGAATGTCGCCCACCTCAAGTACTTTAACTTCTAAAGAAAAGATGCTCCCCGGGCCGTACTCTTTTTTCCCTCACCTGAGTATTGTCCCGACTGGGTTTTCACAGGGAGGTTTTTAACGAGGCGACAAGGGGGACATCTTGAAGTTTAGGGCTCGAGCAGGATAGATTGCAAGTTAACAAGTTCATTGTCCGACCCCTCAAATACTTCTCCGGGCCGAACAATAAAGGGACTAGATAGACTGGGAGTGGAATACTAGCCCAAAAAGCATGTAAACTTCGATATATATATATATATATATATATATATATGAAAGCAAGGGATACAAAACACATGATCGAATTAATTTTTTACTTTGCGCCGCATTCGACCTCATTCGAATCAACTAAGAGTCAGCATTCGACCCCGCTCGAAACGACTCACATTCGACCTCGCTTGAATCGACTCACATTCCACCTTGTTAGAATTAATTAACATTCGACCTCATCCGAATCAACTAAGAGCCAGCATTCGACCCTGCTCGAAACGACTCACATTTGACCTCGTTCGAATTAATTAACATTCGACCTCGTTCGAATCAACTAAGAGTCAACATTCGACCTCGCTTGAATCGACTCGCATTCGACCTCGTTCGAATTAATTAACATTCGACCTCGTTCGAATCAACTAAGAATCAGCATTCGACCTCGTTCGAATCAACTCACGTTCGACCTCGTTCGAATCAACTAAGAGTCAACATTCAACCTGGCTCGAATCGACTCACATTCGACCTCGTTCGAACTAATTAACATTCGACCTCATTCGAATCAACTAAGAGTCAGCATTCGACCTCGCTCGAATCTACTCACATTCGACCTCATTCGAATTAATTAACCTTCGACCTCGTTCGAATCAACTAAGAGTCAGCATTCGACCCCGCTCGAAACGACTCACATTTGACCTCGCTCGAATCGACTCACATTCGACCTTGTTCGAATTAATTAACATTCGACCTTGTTCGAATCAACTGAGAGTCGGCATTCGACCTCACTCGAATCGACTCACATTCGACCTCCTTCGAATCAACTAAGAATCAGCATTCGACCTCGCTCGAATCAATTTACATTCGTCCTCGTTCGAAT